AAATAGTACCTTGTATTTCCTGATGTAGCGGAAAAAAGCTATTGAAAATCATTTTAGATGATATTTAAAATTTTGCAATCGTTTCAAAAATAACTGAACTAGAGGGGGGGGGGCATTTATGGTGAATCACCCTGTACTCTCATACTCCTAGCTCCTAGCAGTATTATAGTTTTCCGATGTCAACTCTACTGACTCATTTATTATAGGAGTTTGAAAAGTGATGTGCCTTGAAAGCTTTGCAATGGCATTTGAGATAAAATGCCACTACTTACTCTTCATCCCTCAGGGATTGAAAGTGCTACTGTAGGTAATACCTCAAATGAGGGTATAAAAGTACAGTTTTTCTTCTTAAAGTGCAAAAATAATATTTACTTTCATTTCAGCGTTTTTTATGAAATTCCTGATATTTTGAAAGATTGGCAACCCTGCGAAAATCAATCTGACACTTCTGTTGTTATGACTTAAGATGTATTATTATTCTCTGGTGGGAGTAAATCCACAATTTTGTTATTTTTCCTGAGATGAGGGAGCATACAACTACTTTCAATTCAGTGAATATATAAAAACTATTGCCAGCCTTCCACATTATCAAACTTGAATAGAGTGCACTGTTAAGGTTGTTTCAATGTAGATATAAATACATTCAATGTCAACACTGGCAAAATATGATCAATACTGTTTCGGAAATGAAATTGCTAATAACAAGACCACCACCTACCAATCATGGTATAGGTATAATGATTGGTAAATAAAGACAGAAGACAGATCAACATTTCAGTGAGGTACAGACAGACGTTCAGGTTTGGAGGCCAACAAACAACATCATCATTAAAAGAACCTCGAATTGAATATACTCACATTTTTTGCTGGTAGTTTTACATGCTTCCACGACATCTTTGTAGCAGTAGTCTTCGCTAGCAGAGGCTGCGGCGCAAAAGAAAACGGCAATAATAATGAAGCTCTTCATGATCATGATCCCTGAGGAAAAACAAAACAAATTCTCAATTAATAACTTTCTCGACATTCACGTTCTGATATCTGAATCGTAATGAAGTATTATTTACCTGGTATCTCGCCAGCGTAATCACGAATAACAACGAATCGGAAAACTCGGAATATGTATTCTGCTCTGCCTCCTATCTCTGTGCACACGAATATCGCTCTGAACGTCGTGCGCACTAGAAAGAGCACGAGAACCATTGAATGAATTCACGAGAGGAAGGAGCGTTTGTTCAAGGTTTTGTTTGTTCAAAACACCGAAATAAAGAAACTTTTGTTCTCATATTGTTCTATCCGTCATTCGGTGCCCCCTTACGAGCAACCTTCAGAAATCTTCAAGAGACTTGTGTCGAGCAAGGAATGACGAGGACCTTATCACCTTATTTTAACGTGTGATTTCAAACACTTATTTCTTGGGTCATTAGAAGAATGTCTGCAGTCGTTTGGATTTCAACCCACGACTGGCAAGCCATCGCCATCAGAATCCTAACGCTTCTACCACGCGGCTAATCTATCTATTTAGACGGCTAATGCCATAAAGCTCAGTTTATTGATTATTGTCGCGCAATTTTGGCTTTGGTTTTGGTGTCAATGTCAGCTAACCAATTCGAATTTAACAAATGCAAGGTGTTATGGTGAATTCATGCACAACTTAAAACCCAGTTTCGACTTAAGAATGAGGGGTGATGATCGGTTGATTTCATTTGATATCAATTCTGAATTGACTAATCGCCTTCTCTAATTCTTGAGTTAGGACTTATAGTTAGTGGTGAATGATCATTTCATCAAATAACTGATGCGCTTGAAGCGGAGTGTGACATTTGGGATCAAGTCATGTCACGACGAGCTTACACTATCTCTATATCAAGAATCAGTCCGGAGAAATCCATGAAAATATGCATGCTTATATATTAGAATACGCTCTCATCATTTTAAATATTTTCAGCAGTGCAGTGTTGCCGCTTCTATCAAAAAGTAGCAACAACTTTGTTATTTCAAATTGAATACCGTGTATTTTATTGTTTTTTTAGATTCTTCCTGAAGAGCTGATTTTATCGATACATCACACTTGGAGTCTATCGGAAATTATTACAGATATATAGGGTTTTCAAAATCGAGATTTTTCAACTTTAGGATTTGTTTGTGTCTAAACTATTTATTATCGGCCGAAATGGCTCAAATGTCCCTATCTCAACTTTTGATTCACTATTTACTGATATTTAATCGGAACAGGTACAAAGGGTGGTTCAAGATTCAGAATTCTGATCACCCGCCTGTATCGGCCGAAATGGCTCCAATGTCCCTATCTCAACTTTTGATTCACTAATTATTCCAAATTTTTGGGATTTTCTCTCCTCGTTTCTATAAAATAAAAATATGAATATTATTTCAATATACGTGTAGTAAGGACAAATCAGATGATTTGCCCCAAAATGTCACTGCGTTTAAAGAATTTTCCTATCAGAGAGCCTAAAAGAAAAATTCACTAGCTTGTCAGTGACAATTTGTATTGAAAAATTTTTGGAGAAGAGAAATAAAGGTATATAGAAAAAATATCAAATTTTCACTTATCTTTGGACGTTTCGGGACCGATTCTGCTCCCGTTTTCAACATGAAGAGATTTTTTCAATTGCGAAGTCGTATAATATGTCTTGATATAGACAGAACATGGTATTCACTACTAAAATCTGAACATGAAAATGGTAAATTCAAGATTAATAAATGAAAACATCCTGTAACTCCTTTGATTGCCAACGTCACCAATTGTCATTGAAAACTGAAAAGCTTCAAGACATATTATACGACTTCGCAATTGAAAAAATCTCTTCATGTTGAAAACGGGAGCAGAATCGGTCCCGAAACGTCCAAAGATAAGTGAAAATTTGATATTTTTTCTATATACCTTTATTTCTCTTCTCCAAAAATTTTTCAATACAAATTGTCACTGACAAGCTAGTGAATTTTTCTTTTAGGCTCTCTGATAGGAAAATTCTTTAAACGCAGTGACATTTTGGGGCAAATCATCTGATTTGTCCTTACTACACGTATATTGAAATAATATTCATATTTTTATTTTATAGAAACGAGGAGAGAAAATCCCAAAAATTTGGAATAATGAACAACTTTGTTATTTCAAATTGAATAGCGTGTATTTTATTGTTTTTTTAGATTCTTCCTGAAGAGCTGATTTTATCGATACATCACAATTGGAGTCTATCGGAAATTATTACAGATATATAGGGTTTTCAAAATCGAGATTTTTCAACTTTAGGATTTGTTTGTGTCTAAACTATTTATTATCGGCCGAAATGGCTCAAATGTCCCAATCTCAACTTTTGATTCACTATTTACTGATATTTAATCGGAACAGGTACAAAGGGTGGTTCAAGATTCAGAATTCTGATCACCCGCCTGTATCGGCCGAAATGGCTCCAATGTCCCTATCTCAACTTTTGATTCACTATTTACTGATATTTAATCGGAACAGATACAGGCGGGTGATCAGAATTCTGAATCTTGAACCACCCTTTGTACCTGTTCCGATTAAATATCAGTAAATAGTGAATCAAAAGTTGAGATTGGGACATGTGAGTGGTTTTGACCGATAGAGAATAGTTTCGAAAAAATACTCAAGTTGAAAAATCTCGATTTTGAACACCCTATATCTCTGTAATCTTTTCGATAGACCCCCAAGTGTGATACCTCGATAAAATCAGCTCTTTAGGAAAAATCTAAAAATGCGAAAAAATACAGGGTGTTCCATTTGAAATATCAATGTTAACCACTTTCGGCAAAGTGACCACCGATCTGTTTCGGTGTTTTGACCGATCTTGTCCATTCGGCGGTGTCCGGATCACCGGATCCCCTCAAAACCCATTTCAGACATAAACACAGGTTAAGTGCCGCAATGTTAAATGATTTGACGTCCCCAATGGCCGATAACTTTTTTTCATCAATTCGCCTATATCTATATATTACTTTTTAACTCCGAATTGATGATTTTTAGACCAAAAACTTACTTTTCTCAGTGTAAGTCTAGGTTGAAGTTTCATGGCCACCAGCAAAACTATTTTCATCACGGGATGCCATTGTGAGTCCAATGTAGCGTTTCGATTTTGATTGACTTAATTGTCAATTCATATTCACCACGCGAATTTTGACAGTGATGACATATGCTGCTGGTTTATCAGTATGTATATTAAATTAGCAAAAGAATAATAAGAAAAACTTGAAAAATCTAGATACGTCAGAAATAATTTTGTTTGCTGTTATATTCTTGTTTCATGTAAAAATTATCTTTAGTTCAGGTAGCATCTACCTTTACCTTGACTCTATGACTCTTGACATTTCTTCCGTATTATTTGCATTTTCTGAGAAAAATATATGACATGCATTTATTTTACTTCGAATTACGAATAACATGAGCCATGTAAGTCCGGCTTGGACTGTTAGAAGCACATGCCAAGCACGGTTTCTAGACCATCGATCTCGCCCTGCCGTCGTGCATTTTAAATGGATACGAAAAGTCATTGTGGACATACAGAATATTTTATGACTGACTAACATGTGAGTCCAGGTCAAGTCCAGGTCGGCTTCACGCGGCCCTTATAGCATTTTTTTGTGTGATTCCGTGTTGGCCTCAAGTGACTGTGCTGTGAGTCATGTGGCACTAAACCCGTTAAGCCTTGAACAGTCGCTCCTTCCTCGGGTTCCCTTCTTCTTTCGATTCAATGTTCTAGAAACAAAGAAAGTGCAAAGTCATGGCAACCGAGAGAGGGGCGCGGCGAGAGGGGTCGGTTGCGGGGATTTCGTCGAGTGTTTTGTTTCGATCGAGTGTGGTGCGGTGCGCAAATCGTATGTATTTATCTGTTCTGTGATTAAACATCGGTTTGTTAATAGTCCACCTTCTGCACCAGTGAGTGTAAAGGCAGACTCAGAAAGCGTTCTATTGTCAATTCAGTTTTCGAGTAGAATAAATATATCAGAAAAATTTTAACAAGATGAATTCTATCATCGTCGCTGTATTCTTCTGTGCCATTGGTTTTGCAACATGTGAGCTACAATGTAAGTTATCATTTTGTTATACGAAAATACCTTGATGGTAAATTGGTATGTTGGTATTCTTCTCATTGATTTGGGTCTGTCCCTGTCGCTGTCCATCATCTTTTCTTGATTGTTGATCGTCATTCAAATTGAGAACCTACAAGGTTAAAGCCATAATGGAGGTATGATGACATTTCCCAAGGTTTTTGTCATTGAAAAATGTTGATTGTATTTAATATTTTTTTGTTGTCCGAAATCTCAGGTTTCTTGAACGAACTCATTCGAAGTCGATATCAAAAGAATTCATAAAATTGACGAATAAATCATTTAGAAAATGGATAGTTTTTTTTTTTCGAAATATGAGTTGTTGAGGTTATGTTTACGTCGTCATGGAAACAGCTGACATTGAAATGTCCAATTTCTGCATTTACTAACTCAGGTAATAAGGTTCATAACATGGTTCATAATATATAACTAAAGATCCATCTTTAAACTCTGAACATAGGTTATAAAGTGCTGTTCTGTTCAAGGTGTCATTATATTTTATTAGATTTTTTTTTGTTAGAGAAAATCAGGAACCATAGATGGCGCTGAAAAAACGTCAAATTTTGAAGTGAAGGTGATCAACAATTCAACAAAACATTTCTCATTAGGATCCAATGTGAATTTTGTCGTTTTTAAATCCATATTTTTAAAATCTGTACAACTTTTATATTGAAAAATATTTAATTAAATTTGACAGCTAATTTTCCATTCCATATTGTCAACAACTGTTCAAGTACATTTATTTATACCTCGATTTGTCCCATTATTTGTGTTCAATTTCATCATTATTGTCTTCTCTTCATTCTGAATATTCCATGGAATTTTCCACAGATGCGACGTTTGAGTCAGAGACCTATAAAAAAAACAATATTTGTATTTCTCTGTCAAGATCTACAGAGGTATATACTATATAGGATCATGTTGATATTTTCATGTTATTGGCTGTTTTTTGGTTATAAAGTAATGCGTATTTAATATTGGTAATAAAGGATGTAGCCTGTAAATTTCTCTAAAGTCCTCTATTGACTCATATACGTCATTGTGTTATTGATAAATGCACATGAAATCAATACTCTCTTTACCATATTTTCGATTCAACTTTTTTTTTTACTTTACACCTTCGACGTTAGCAAACTTTTATATTGGATCAATGTTGGCAGTATTACCTACAAACTGACCAATATTTCACATACTACAAAGGTTTATTTTCATATTTGATTCAAGGTAACGAATTCCCCAGTAATATTGAACAGGGTTCCAAACGGGGTTCACTTTTTACTTTAAGGAAATTGACGTCTACAGTATTTGCGCTATTTAGCGGAATAATGAGAAAAATTGTATTCATGAATTGGTACCACTGCAAGTCACCTTCTTGGGTACATGTTCAGAAAACGTGTCATTATTATTTTGGGGAAAAATTAAAAATATTTAAAGTATTCGAAACTCATTGTATTCCGAGAAGCAGTGTTTACTAATTTCTCGGTTCGACAATGGTTATATTTTTGAGATCATTATCTAAGAATTCATATATGGTCTTGGTCCCTGACGCGCAGCTTACTCAGCGGCTGATCCGTGTTCAATCTCGGATAATTTTTGTTTGAACAATTCGAAGAAAGTCATGGACCTGGGATTTCAAATTAACTATATACATTATACAGTATGTCCCACTTTGGGCAATAACACGCACGCTTGTATTTCTTGTTCGTTGACCGGTTCAAAAAAATTTTTTCGCTCAACATAAATACTAGTCAATTCGATCTACTTTCCTGAGTTTTTAATTTTCTCATTGCAATATAACACGACCAACTAGGTATGATCAAATTTCATGTTGAGCAAAATAAATTTTGAAATCGGTCAACAAATAGTAATATACAAGTACAAGTGGGACACACTGAATAAGTATAAATACTATAACTATTCAAGTTGTTTTTTAATTTATATGAATGTTTTGTTATTCCATTTTATGGAACATACATTATCGCTGAATACGAGGGTTAATCATATTTGAATTACCCTCGGAATGGGCGTGTACATCTTAGTAGAACTTTCAACTCAAACCATCCTTTCATACATAAATAATGATTGACGACATAATTCGATCGAAAAATTAACTGGAATGTTTTATTTTTAGAAATAAATGATAGTACTTTCTGAAAACGGACCCTCTTATGACGTAGAAACCTCATCTCGCCATAGTTAAAAGAAAATACCAAACGCCCGACGGAGACTGAGGCAACTGATATATCTATCTATCTATTCTTTCAACTGTGATCTCGTGCTAATTCACTCTGTCAGAAATCATGTATCATTCATCTCTGTCTGGAATAGTCTTGTTTCAGTATAAGGGTTTTGACGTCACATTATCGCCTCGTTTTCAGAGGTCCGAAAAATCGGGGAATTCAATTTTTTTTTATAAAACGTAGGGAGCTCACAGCAAGAAAGGGTTTGCGGTGGTGAGCTAGTTTGGGTGAGTTCTATCGAATTATGAAATACATTTTTTTTGTGATATAAGCCCATTACCTACCTGTCCTGGTAATGACGAGGTATGCAACATTTACCACTTCTTGAAATTCCCAGGTTGGTACCTACTTCCTGAACCAGAAATTGTGCGCCTCTTCAGTAAGCATAATATGCGCCACAAATTTATCAAAACCAGTTGAACGTAAACAGAAATAACAAACAACCGATTGCATGCCAACATGGCTACCATGGTTGCCAATATTGCTATTTGTGTGCTGGTCAGAGAATAGAATCGAGAATTGTTGAAGTAATAGATATCCCAATTAATTGTCCCAAGTAGAATATCCTCGAGAATATATTTGTGGTCAACAACAAATCGTTTGTTCAAATATTTGAAACGCTGAAGATATATGATTGTGGCTGTTTGACTTGGCAATGCCGGTCAGATCGATAAAGCAAGCAGAGCAAGCACTTTTGATAATGGTATCGCCCGTAACTATTCCATAGTTCCCAAGGGCAAAGGGCAAATCAAAATGGACTATTAGAGGTTAGAATTCACTGATGTGTCGAATACAATAATATCCGAATTATACATTTCTCAATACCAGTCCTTTGTCTTTTTATCTAGATTCAACAAGAATTAATGCAGAGCAGATTTTAGGCGAGAGATTTTTTACCGCATTGCAATATAAGAATTCAGAATAAACCCTTCACTGCACATATGTACAGGATGTCCCATATTGCTTGATTTTGTCATTTTCCCTATTTCCAGAACAACTAGAGAACTGACCTAGACGTCTAGAGCTTGATTTTTGTGGAACATCGATTGGTGAAAACCGCACTTCGATATATCTAACAGTTTCCGAGATATAAGCAAATATTGACATTTAACCGATTTCAAAGAACTTTCCCCCATATTTAAAATCAATCATAACTTATGAACTACCCTATAAATTTTTTTGATATTTAGTTGGTATGTTCTTTGTCCACAGTTGTGACGATTGACATAATAAAAAAAATCTCATTCCAGGGCCGGACTTGAAAAAAATAATAAGTAGGTTTCGAGTTGAAACAACAATTTGTATATTAATATTTTGAAATCTTTTACAAATTTGGAAAGAGCAGGAAAAACTGAGTAGGACCGAATGTATTTGGTGTCTACACATACAACTTTTTTCCTATTAACTTGAGTCGAATTTAGAGGTTTCAATAATTAGGTGGCACTTTTCCATTTATAATCAATTATTTCTCATCCCCCTAATTCTTGGATCCTAACGTAATTGAAAACGAGAGGACATTATCATGTATGACTAACTTGTATGTGTAAGAAAATTATCATAACATTTGTTTATTGTACTACAATTGAAACAATAATTATGGAAATGTTGGACAATGCCCATTTCAAAAAGAGGAGGTATATTTTGATTAAATTACTTATGATTCTTTTAGCATCTGAAATATCACAGTAATCGATATTTTAGTTGAATGCCAGACGACCATAAGGAACTGGATACCTCCAATGTGTGGCTGTTCCTTCAAACTAGTCATTTTTGTTACGCCTTGCCTTTTATACTTGGTAGGCCTTGCCTCCAATACTGGGTAAGCCTTGCCTCCAATATTAGTAGGCATTACCTCCTATACTTGGTAGGCCTTGCCTCCTATACTTGATAGGCCTTGCCTCCTATACTTGGTAGGCCATGCATCCTATACTTGGTAGGCCGTGCATCCTATACTTGGTAGGCCTTGCCTCCTATACTTGGTAGGCCTTGCCTCCTATACTTGGTAGACCTTGCCTCCTATACTTGGTAGACCTTGCCTCCTATACTTGGTAGACTTGCCTCCTATACTTGGTAGGCCTTGCCTTCTAATCTTCTTACTCTTGATGAATCCTTCTTGTGGCCTCCGAAATAACCTAAGATCTTCAATCCGCTCTCAAAAATGAATCCGTCATGTGGTCCAGAACAACATAAAATGACCAATCTTGATCTTTTCTTAGGCGCCCACAAAGAACTGGACATCCCCAAAGAATGGGTCGACATGGACGGCGTGTGCATCAAGAAGGTTCGCAGCCAGATCGAGGAGGAGCTCAAGGCTGCCATGCAGTACATGGCGATGGGCGCGTACTTCGCGCAGGACACCGTCAACAGGCCGGGATTTTCCGAGATGTTCTTCAAGTCGGCGAGCGAGGAGCGAGAGCACGCAATCAAGCTGATCAGTTATTTGCTGATGCGAGGGGAGCTGACGACGCAAGTTAGCAGTTTGATCAAGAGAAACGTGAGTAGGGGTTTTGAGGATCTGTCTAGTGATCACGGAATTACTTTGTCTTATATAATATATGGTTGGCAAAAAGAACGAAATTTTGATTTTGAATAATAACATTTTTTTACAAGCTATTTTATTTTATTTATTCATGTTCAAATGTTGCTGGCAGATTTAAAGATTCTGAAATGATATATCATATGGGGTTATTCAAAACAGCCTTATTGTTATCAATTTTTTTCAAATGGGTCTCGATTTTCAGAACAATTGAATAACTTTGGAACCATCAACAATTTGATAACCACATATACCATTAGTTTTTATTGCAAATGACCACCCCACTTCTTTTGATCCATGACTTATGGGACACCTTGTATATTTTTCCAGTAATTTTTTTCATGAATCTCCAAAATCTCGTTGGCGTATTGTAATTTTGACCTCTGCTTTTCAGGATTATTAACTCTGTTTCATGGTTTCATCTAAAATGGTCCCAAAAATATACAAGATTATTTGTCAAAAAATAAAGGATAGGATTCCATTCCATAAGAACAATGATTAATTTCTCTATATTTCTGGGAATCTCTCGTTTGTACCAATGAAAATATGGCTAATATATATTTATATAAATCCTTCATTTAGTGAATACAAAAAAATCAACTCTTACAGACAGTTTATATTTGAAAGTCACTACATATAAAATGGAACAGGCTAGGACATAATGAAATGTCTCGAAATGTCTGGAAATTTCACTGTGCTGTGTTTAAAAATTTTGCTATTACAAAAAGTAAGAGATAAAGTCAATTGATAGTCACTGTTGTGAAAATTGTTAGAAGAAGAGGAATATGGATACATAAATACATCGAAAAAATGTAAAATGTTTACTCAGCTTTGGACGTTAAGGGAATTAATCTGCTCCGGTTTTCAACATAAAAAATGGAAAATTTTTCTTGCAAATGATTTAGATATGGTTTTCTGACACTTCTCAGTGACAGAAGTTGATGAAAAAATGTATGAGTTACAGGGGTTTCCATCTGTATCAACTGAACAGGAAGCAATGTTAGTGTCTCCGTTCAGAAGAATACCAGCGAATTCTTAGATTTTTCATTTTTCTTGTTTCACCTGCATAATACTTTCCACATACAAGGTATTCAGTATTTACAATTCTTGGTTTTGTTTGAGTGAAATGGGGAAATTTCCTACAGATGAATTTTCATATAATAGAATTTTCATAAAATAAGTTCGGAACTCCTCAGTTTCATGTCCATGCTGTACAGTCGTTTTTATTTTACAAATAAAGCAATTTCGAATTTTCAGGCCGGCAAACTATGACGTACATTCTGAATCTAGTCAGAATTTAGCTGATGATGAAGAATAAAACTTGGGAATAGCTACAAAATAAAAAACGAATTAAAAATATAGAAGAAGACAGTTTGGCGTCTTTGTTGATGTTTATATCATGAAAAATAGCGATGATGCCCTAACTAATCAAACAATAATATAAACTGAAGACATAGGCTAATGAATAACTTGAGATCAAAAATCGACATGACTGGTAAAGAAAAACATACATAACAACAAAACCTGATCACCTCTCGGTGTGCTTGTTAGTATTTTGTGTGGTGTGGACGGACTCATAGTATTATGCGCTGTTGCAGGACTTACAGTATTATGCGTTGTTGCATGGTATAGTCTGCAACTTTTCTAGAAAATAGATCCGTTTCATAAAGGAACGAATTCATATGAAAAATTATAGATACTATGGCAAAATATCATAATGAACCTTTATTAGTAATCAACTTCATCCAGCAAATGAGAGATTTATGAAAATTGTTCATCAAAGTAGGACTGAAAAACCTAGTATATCCCATTGTTGTTATGATAGTTATAGTTTATTCAAATAACAATTTCCGGAATTCTAGACATATTGATGATGCCGGCAACGTCGTACTGACACAGGGAATCGTATTTTAACTCTTGTGAACGGCATTTTCTAGGGAGTCCGTCATAGGAATGGTGAAGGGCCAAATTCCTTTTTCATATAATTTTTTCCGAAGTGAAATTTTATCATACGAAAAAAAGAAAAAATACCTACATTGAAATTTTACAAATTTCAGTTACATCAAAACCTCAATATCGAAACTTCGTCATTATTGATGTCATTGTATTTTCGGTGCACGTATAGGCTATTTGACATCAATATTTATTACTTGATGAGTTTATTGAATGATGAAATGGAGGATAATATATTGCACATTCTCCTGATATAAACACCAAGTCAATAAAAAGTAGGGTTTTACAATGGTTGTTTATCAATCAATTCTAGAAACATATCTCAATATGTTTTGTTTTATGTTGATGAAAGTAAGATAGGAATGTTTGTAACAAGAAATTATCTGATTTTCAATAATATAATTTTGAACTTTCAACGTTATTTAAGTGTTGTAGATAAAGTATAATAGTAATTTCACATAATAGATATCAAGATATATACTACTCTCTCAAATGATTACGACTTTATCTATAACTGCAATCTTTATCTTCGTGAGCGGGTAAGGTGTCATTGGATTCAGATAATTAAGAAGATTTCAAAATTGTAATGATATACAGGTTGTCCCATTTGAAAATCGAAAGTTGATGTCATTTCTGGAATAATTGGTAGCTCATTTGTTTTTCCAAACATATCGACGGTCATCTCACGTAGGGACGTATATCAGTTTTCAAAATTTTGCAGGAAAGCAATTCAAAGATGTTCAACATCTTAATTCGCTTAAAAATCAGAGGTTTGATCATGAAAGTTCATTGTTTTTAATTCAATAGTGAAAGAGCTAGAACTAGCTGTTATGATGTGGTGAGATTGCGCAAAACATCGTCAACAACGTGGATAATTAATATGTTCGTGTAATACGTCATTATGTGAGATCATGATTGTCAATGTGTCCTTCGAAATGTCCGTGAATATAACGTGAATTCAAATAAATATCAGATCCAAATATTCATTTTTATTGATGATAAACACAGAAATTCATTCGACTTGTACAGTACCTTACAATACCCCTTTCAGTACCTTGAGACGTCACCCGAGATATTTTAATTCCCGTGGCAAACCGGATTATGAGATACGTCACTGTTGAAACTTTTAACAAATAATAAAAATATATCGCACGAACTACCGTTACTCCTATTATAGTTAGGTCACTTCATGAGATTTGGTAGTCCAATATAATTTGAGATCGGATGAGTATTCGATATTTAATTACTTACACGAACACCATTCAATATTAAGCTACGCCAAGTGAGATCATAGAGTCTAACAAGAATATAAGTCATTTGACAAAGTATCTCAAATACCTATTTTTATGAGATACGTCATTACGTGAGATGACACACAATATGCAATGTTCTGAATTTCAGAAATATAGCTAGATAAACAAAAATGTAGTCACACGGTGTTTTCTGAGGAAAAAGTGTATAGACCCAAATAACCTCCAGAATCAGTCGACCATGAACTTTACAAGCTTTATTCTCGTTTACAGCTGACGCCTAAAACATCATCTTGGGCCAATGGGGTGAATGCTCTCAAGGATGCTCTGAAATTGGAAACTTCAGTGACCAAGAAGATCAGGGAACTCATCAAAGTTTGCGAAGGTGAAGGTGCCGCTAGCTACAATGACTATCACGTGAGTATTCTTTACATTGATAGCATAACTTCAAGAAACAAGTCTATAAATTTGTGTCCGGAAATTCTTCTTTTTGAAGATATAGGTTTTTTTTTTACTTTTCAAATTACTTTTGCAAAAAAATAAGTTCTTTGAACAAACTTTGTTACCTACCCAAGGTTTTTCTAAGTGAGAAATCATAATGTCGTATTAATATTCATGAACGGCGATGCGTATGCTGTCATTATTTATTTGAAATTATCTTGTATAATATCAAACATTACAATACTAACATGAGTTCTATGGTTACTTTAATGCACTAGTGCGGTAATGTAAGGAAACCGTTTTTTTTCTTATTTTGACATTCAGTATTATTATCATAAGACATAAAGGAAACAATAACACAAATAAAACATATCAACCTACATACTGTGATGATAGGACCACATGTCGATAATATTCATCCAAAGTGAAAATGACACATCAAAGTCGACAGTTCGCAATATACCTACAGTGTGTGCGATTTCAACTCATAACACCATCCTAATGGGGGACTTTGCTCCGAGTTGCTAACCTAAAATCCTCTACCACTGTAGAAGTATTATGGAAGTTTGATTTCTCAAATAGCTTTAATTTGGTGAAATCTGACTGTAGGAGTCTACTCAGCTTTCTAATGAGTTATTCAGAAGAAAAAATTTTTTTGTGAACTTCACATCTGACGTGAAAATACTGAAATATCAATACTAGTCACTAAATCACTAGGTGAGTTCCAATGACCTTTGAACTTCGAATAATGATCAAGAAACTCTCATGAGAAACGTGAAAACCTATAATAAACTGGAGGTGAGGGTTCCAAAATTATCTGATCTGGGTCTATTCTGGACTCATAATGGTAATGAACATAACATTGTTATTTGGGCTTTATATTTATTGTCGTTAATATTTATATTTCCTCACTACCCATAATATATCATGCTATAATAAATATCGAATATAGTCTTGTGATTTCAGCTATGCTTAACTATCTGTGTCTAAATATTGTTGTTTTCGGACATTTGTGATATGTATTTCTATTTTATAGAGTATTTATTGAATGATTTCTTTTCCCTATTGTTATTTTTTACTAGGAAAATGCGTATTATTACATATAGGTTTCCACACATGGTTTCGTTCACTTAAATACATTTCCTTGGGTCATTCTTCATTTCAGGGAAAGGTTGAAACTTACTTATTTTATTCTTGATTATTTTATTCTTAGGTAGTCATGTCTGAATCGATATTTAGCACTCAAATGAAATATATTCCTTCTTCCTACTGCAACGATCAAACTTCTTCACCAAAGAATGATAAACAATAGTGTTGTCCATTAAAAATAATCATAAATATGCATCAGAAATATGACAGTTGATAAAATTGAAGACGATATGACATATTTCAAAATGAAAACAGGTACATCAACCTAATTTTCAACCAATCAGAACTGGAGTTCACAAAAATTAATGTTTCTTCTGAATACCTTTTATTAGTGAGCTGAGTAGACTCCTACTATCAGATTTCATCAAAATAAAGCCATTTGAGTAATACAACTTCCATAATGTTGCTTCTACATTGGTAGAGGTTTTTCGGTTGGCAACTTGGAGCTAAGTCGCCCATTCTCTTCAAAAATGTGGAAAAATCAATATTCAGATTCTCAAGACCCACTATTGTTTGTTGAAGGGGTTAAAATTTCTATAACTGCTATTAGGCAATTTTCATAATAATAAAATAAATCGCCTATTTGATTGAGACATAGCTGAGATCCTCCATAGAGAATTTTGAAGCAGTACCTCAAATAGGGTTTTAATTAATTTCAATATTTCTGCTCATTTCACCCTGTATCAAAATCTAAGGAGTTGATATAACAAGTGAAGTGGTCATTCAATGTATTGATTATGTCATCGTTTAACGCCAGAAAACTTCTTAATTGAAGTACTTAGAAAATAATAAATGATTTGAATCATTTCAATGGGCATTAACCTGCGTTTTTTCGATTGTTTTTTAAACAAATTCAATATCATTATCAGTAAAAAATAAGTAAATATTGAGACTGATATGTTATTGTTAGTATATGATTGATTGGTTGATTAAGTGGACGATAACAACAAATATTGACATAACTCAAGTGATTGGATCAAGGTACTAAATCATGACCAGAGAATCAAGTAGTCGTATTTTTGGATTAGCAGTGATATCGCAAATCGCTGCTGCCATATTGCAGAAGGATTTTATGTTGTTTCATTCAGTCTCATTCACAACAAATTAGATTTTCAATTGATCGTAAACAAACCACTAGTATACAATCAAAGTTTATTGCTTTATACACGGTTAGCAATTACCTTTTCAGTAATCCCAATGATGGAAACTATGAATCAAAGTTATCAGGAGAAAATCATTCTGATTTAATTCCATAATCCCAACTAACTCAAAGTGATCAATAATAATTAAATGTTTTTACAAGTGGGTACTTGCAAACTCATGTTATTTTTGAGTATTTTACTTATCATAGAATCAATGCCACCTTTTTTTGAAACACCCTGTCTATAAGGTAGTCAAGATGAAATTGGGTTAGTTTATTGTATGAGTATTTCACTTGAAGAAATTACTGTGTTAGCTAAACATGCCGGGTATTCAAGTTTTTTGTGGAAATCTTATTTTTTATAAATTTTACACATTTAATATGAATTTTAATCTTCTCCTGAAGATGCCGAGTTAACATAGCAAAACTCATGTTGAAGCATTGAAACATTGGATTGGTTAGTAGTAACACAATGTAGTTTCCTACTTCATTTTTTCCAAAATTCAGTACATTGTAGGTGTTAACATGTATAGGGCGACAAAATATACCCATTTATCGAATATTATTAAAATTTTGTTATTTCCTTGAAAACCGTTTTGAAAAGAAACAAAAGGTTTTAATACATGAATATTCTAATCATTACAGCTTGTCGACTACTTGACGGGAGACTTCTTGGAGGAACAATACCATGGCCAACGCGACCTGGCTGGAAAGGTTTCAACCTTGGAAAAGATGACGGAGAAACATGGCGCCCTAGGGGAATGGCTGTTCGACAAGAAACTTCTCAATGGCGAACTATAAATCAGAAGTCAGAACATCTTGACATCTTATTCCATGTGATATACTTACCTATTTTGTTTTGTATGGATATCGTCTAGTTCCATTTCATTAGAATTATAGATTTCAGTTTTGTTCCAATAAAATTTGTATCTAGAGGGGAGCTATTCATTATTTCTTGAACCGTACCTGCTTTCACTTCCCTACTAATGGTTCAGGTTCAATCTACTGTTCTTTAAACAGCCGCTAAAACTTTGGCTTACATGCAGTAAATGAGTCCACAGAGAAATTAATGTAATAATAATAATAATAAATGTTCTTTATTGGTTAAAACTAGAGTCACTGGATGGTATTAGTTTGATAAGAGTTCGGACACAGAAATGACAACGGTTAGGGTTTTTGAATGTTTGGATTTATTAAGTTACACACCTTGCATTGTGACAAGAGCACCATATATAGTCGTCCTGATGCGCTTTTTCATTCAAAATTGTTTGAATTTGACAATAAATTTTATAAACGTCAGAATTGAAATAAAATTTGATAATTATACTTTAGAGTAAAGAGCATTCATGGAAATCACTTGCTGTGTAATAAATTGTGCCAATTCTGAAAAAAATTGATATCATTCATTCAATTTTCCGAAACAGATATCAACCATTCGCTTATGGAAGGAAGATATGAAACGGCCTGGGTAGAAAGTCAATTTGAAGACGAGCGAAATTTGTGAGGTACTCATTAAAATTCACTTCTTATAACAGCATCTGATTAGATTGAATCTATTTTACGCCCATTTTCAAACAGAAGATTTCAAAATCTGATTGAGAGAATCTGCTGTCAATTTACAAATCAGACGATTTCAAGAACAAAATTCATTATCATCACACAAAATACAAAACGAAATAATCATAAAAAAAGAAGAAATGATCGCAGAATCACATAATGAAATTGAAAATTTGAAAACGAAACTAAGAAAAGCAAGTAATCCACAACGTGATATATTATTGAATGGCGTTTTTGTTGCCGACCTAATTCAAAATTTAACAGTAAAAAGTGAATAGTTATTTATGTATCAAGAGAATCATTATAAGGGCCTTAATTTTGCTGGAGGTTATCGTTCTGGAGATATTTTCCATATCGATCCATGTTACTTAGCTCCTAGGGCGCTAAGTGAAGTTGCTGAGAACTTTACAAAACCAAGTATTTGGTTGGTCTCGTCAGAATAAACTACTTTTTTCCTATGAGAGGTAAATTGAAGTGGGTGTTTGTACCCTATATCCATTGTCCATCTACGGCTATGATTGATTTGACAGAAAATATAACCTCTAAAATCGTATCTGACAATCAGGCGATACTTGGGAAATTGAAAAGACAAAGAGCAGAATATATGTCTTATTCTTTTATTCACTTCAACCATTGTATTATAGAAAATAGAAAATGACAAAAGTTCAGCTGTGTCCGAACTCTTATCAAACTAATACCTTCCAGTGACTCTAGTCAGCTAGTTAAAACCAAATGGCCATCGACCGAGGTCCTTCAGCCAGTAACAATTTTCACATATAATTTTTATATCATTTCAAATTTTTAGGTTATGGAAGAAAGTGAAACTTTATGAAAAAAAAAAAGAAGTTATCTTGGATTTTGTCTTCAGTCTTGTGCACTTAGGTGTGTGATAACTTCCCAAATGGTTCTTTCTGGGTGCTTGTAGAGTGGTTGGCGTCTTTCTTCACGTTTCTTACAGTATGGTCTGAGGAAGTTGATGTTATGTTCTCATTTTGAGAATTTGCTTGCCAGATCCAAGAATCTGTTTTGGATTGGTTTAAATTTTGTCAGTTCATACAGGAGTTCGTTTGGTGGATTGTGAAAAAAAAAAAGAAGTTATCTTGGATTTTGTCTTCAGTCTTGTGCACTTAGGTGTGTGATAACTTCCCAAATGGTTCTTTCTGGGTGCTTGTAGAGTGGTTGGCGTCTTTCTTCACGTTTCTTACAGTATGGTCTGAGGAAGTTGATGTTATGTTCTCATTTTGAGAATTTGCTTGCCAGATCCAAGAATCTGTTTTGGATTGGTTTAAATTTTGTCAGTTCATACAGGAGTTCGTTTGGTGGATTGTGAAGTGTGTTGTCCGGGTGGCGATTTTACTAAATATAAATTAACTATTGCAGCACAAGACACGCCCCCTACTACGGCATTGCAAAATATAATCGAGCCCAGCACAATCCTGCAGAATCTAATCTTTGACAGCACAACGTAGCTGATTCATATAAATAAATCGATTGAAAAAGTAGCACATACCGCGTTATATCTCATCTTCAAAGTACTTTACTTAGGCAAAACTCAGAGACTATTTATCCTCAACGAACTAACCTATCCCTGATTGCAATATTTTTGAGGAAGGAAAACCGAATGGAGTGTAGAAACACATTGATTAATAATATATTTCAAAAGTTGAGTTCTTCAACAAAATTGAATAAAATGAGACTGTTTATCCTAAACGCACTAACCTATTTGACTTGAAATATTTAATGAAAAAGGAAAACCAGAATGAAGTAAAAAAACATTGGTGAAAAAAAAAAGTTGCAAAAAAAAGTTCGAGTTCACAGCGATTCGAACCATGAACCTTCAGACTGAGAGTCGACAGCGCTAACCAGTAGACCATTTGGGTGTATGAATTTACTGCGTACAAGAGATTGACAACGAGAAAGCTTCAGTTCTTGCGTTGGAGCACAGTATGAGATATGACGTATTATGGTGGGCGTGGTTTGTGCTAGCGTGCAGTATATTTAGGAAAATCGCGTCCGGGTTGCGAATTTTGGTGATACTTCGGAGGGTGGATGTTTGAGCTACTTGGAGGTTTCTGAGGGCGGGTTTTCGACAGCTCAGGTATACGATATGTGCGTATTCTAATATTGGCCAGCAAATCATCTTGTATATTTTTGATGCGGATTCAACATCAATGCCGTGGTTTTTGTATGTCATTGCCCGGAAGTGTTTTCCTCTTGCACTGATTTTTGTTTTTTTTTGTGTGTTGGTTGAAGTTGAGTTTGTTGTCCATTTCAATACCGAGGTACTTTGCTGAATTTTGGCTTTTGAGGGTGTGATTGATGATTGTGACTGTAGGTGGATTGTCTGATGTTCTGTGATAAAATATAACAAACTGTGATTTTCTTGGATTTGGTTTCAGTCTCCAAGATTACACAGTTGTAACAGTTGTAACAGTTTTTAATCTTCTCCTGAAGAAGCTAACATAGTTAGCGAAACACGTGTCGAGGCGTTTCAAAAATCGGTTTGGTTATAGTGGTAAAATAGTGTAGTGTATTTTATTTACAACCATATACAGAGAAGTGCACAAAAAACAGCCAGGATTGTAACTTTTGAATGATTCTAGATAGGGTTTTGAAAATTGGTGGGTATCAAGTATACCAAATTGCTCATTAATTGATGAAACACTTTTTCTTTTATCACTTCCAGTTTCACCGAAAACAACCCCAACTTTTGATTTTTAAATGGGACACCCTGTATTGTATTCCATAATCGGTTAGGAAGTATCATCACGAATTCAACGATAACGGGTTTGATAGGGGTATTTCAAACGATTACAAAGATATTTGCGTTCGAAGTTTCCATATGCTCAATGGGTGTGACTTCGCAATATCAAAACTTCTTTCTCTGTCACACTCATTGAACATATGGAAACTTCGAACACAAATATCTTTGTAATCGTTCGAAATAACCCTATTGAACCCGGTATCGATGAATTCGTTGTGACAATCCCTAACCTGCTTTCAAGCATCGTTTCAAGCAGAATCTCTTATCGGACCTACCGATCTAATCAATTATTCTGATGTGAATGGTATGATTCAAAGATGTAAGTCTGTAATAATTTAGTAAATTCATGTAATGTTACCATGTCATTATCACATAATCTTTTCTTACATGCTATCTTATATTATTCAGATCATTATGGGGTTAGATGTAAGAGTAGCCTAGCTAAATTTCGCCCCTTAATGATCATAACAATTGTATTTGTTTTCATCATACTTTTATAAATAAAGTCGATTTATTATTATTATTATTATTATTAACCGATTATGGAATACAATACAGGGTGACCCATTTAAAAATCAAAAGTTGAGGTCGTTTCCAGTCAAACCGGAAGTGATAGAACAAAAATGCTTTCGTCAATTGATGGGCAATTTGGTATACTAGCTGCCCACCAATTTTCAAAACCCTATCTCGAATAATTCAAAAGTTACAGTCCTGGCCGTTTTTTGTGCACTTCTCTGTATATGTTATGTCATTACTAACGTCATTGAAGGTTGGGAAGTGTCACATTACACACCTCTACTTCCCGCCCTCACTTCCCGCCCTTCACTACTTCCCACCCTCACTTCCCGCCCTCACTCATGTAATAATTCAGGTATGTTCAGAACGAAACATAGATTCATTAATTTTGATCGAAATATGATGGTTGTAAATAAAATAGTATACAAACATCGGTAGGAAGTTCATTCCTGTCTCAAAATTATAGCTAACCTGGACGCTTTGCGTCTAGTTCAACTATAACTAATCTCACAGGAATGAATCACTTCCCACCTCCCACCATACTATTTAAATCAACAAAGTTGTCAAATCTCAATACAAAATTGACATTTTCCATAAAATATCATCATTTTTCCTCGTTAGCAGAAATAACGAAAATACGGTTAGCATCGGCCATCGCTTCCACGAATCTATTGTTGCATGATGAAAAATACTGTCAGTGCACTATCAAACACACCTCCTCATGTAGCAGGAAGTGCCAGAGTTTCAACTCTGTATCTAATATCATATTCTCCTTTCCGAAAAATAAGGCGGGTCACTTTTTATTGGATTTACCATTGCACCATTGTAAAATGACAACTGGAATGCCAATATTATGGCAATGATAGGTCATTGGGGTGAAACTGCTTGAAAAGTGATAGACCATGTATCCATGTTTGCTAATGGATATATCATAGGTACAACTATATTATACTATATTTATCGT